TATTCAGTAGTTACAAACGTTGCGTTAACACCACTCTCCTGACGAGTCCAAGCATCAGTGAAAGCAGCTGCTGGAGTTTCTTTCTGTAAGTTTCACGTTGCTGTGCTGCTCAGCAGATGCTTCAATAAATCAGATGTAGAATTGTTGAAAGCTTTTTGCTGGTCGCACAGAGTTTACAATAGATGACATTGTTCTTTGCATCTTAGACTGTGACACAATAATGGCAGTAGCTACTTAGAGCTGTGGAAAGAAAGCCTCTCTCCCTCGTTCAACATTCTTTAGTTTTGGCTATCAGCGGACATGAACAACAAAGTCCGGTCCTGCAGAGCTGTCGCACAGTCGTGGATTTACGTCAAGGATGGTGCATTCAGTAACGAATAACGCAGCGTTACTTGCCTAGTAACTAGTAATAATGTTACCGTTTTAGAAAAGTAATTAGTTACACTACTTAGTTACTGGGAAAAGTAATATTATTACAGTAATGCATAACGCGTTACTGCCCAACACTGTTCAAGGCTGGGAGCAGTAACTTCCTGGAGTCTCCACAGGTTGCCTTGCAACTGGTCAGAGCCTATAATTAGTCCGGCATGTGATAAGTTTATAACTCTAACTGTAAGATGCTCAGTACGTGCCTTGGTCACAATTCTTTAAAAAAACAAATCTAAAAGAGTCTTATCAAAAATGTTTGTTATATAATGTGTTTCCATAAAGTCCTGCCAGTGTTTACTCCTCTCTGTCCCTCACCACTCAACCCTGCCCCGATTCTGTGGCTCCATCCACACTTCTACGTTTCATTTTAAAACGCAGCACTTTTGCTACGTTTGCACCTTTCGGCCACACTAAAACAGCGAATCCAAACACCTAAAATGGAGAAGTTTGAAAACGCTGCTGACCCCGTTTTCTTTTTAAAACTCCAGGGTAGCGTATTAGTGCAGACAGGCGAAAATGGAAGACTGTGGAAATGATGACACAGACACTCATGTTTGCTCCCTATTGGGTCTTATCAGTCATGCAAAGCAAAAACACAGTGCTACTGACAGTGTTTTTGTTTTAGATTTTTATTAAAATATTTTGTACTGTGCAAATGACACTGACACTTGTACATTGTACTGTGCATGTCGCATATTTGCTTTGCGAACTGTCTTGAATCACCATGCAAAATCTTCTCCATGCCAATCTTCTGCAAAGTTCTGCAGAGTAGAGGATGGGCGTGTATTGAGGAAAATATTCGAATCTCATAAATAAAAATTGAACATGTACTCAACGATCAAATATTCGGGTCCACCCCTAGTGAATTGCCACTTCATGTGCATTTTCAGTCGTTTTAATATAGATGGGGTCCATTTTTATACGCAGCTAAAACACTGGTGTGGATGGAGTAGTTTGGATGTAGCCTCCCTTCGTGTCTGCACACAGAAATACCAGGACATGATTTTTAGTCCGTATCGCCCAGCCCTATTTATTGGTTAGTGGTTTTTTTAACTGTCAAATACCCATTGGTATTTAAACAATCATAGACTGTATAAAACAGGAAACAATTCAGTATCTGTTGCGCTACAGTTTTAATCTTTGCTATACTCTTAACCACTTTACTGAAACTAGACTTTCCTTTAGTCTTTGGGCAGCCAGAAGGCAAGAAAATGTATTAAAAGCCTAGCTGCATTATTGCTTGTAAAGAATTCTATATAAGTAACAATATACAATGTTAATAAAAGGTCTATTGTATTACATATATTTATCTGTCATAATGTCTCATAACCAGTGTGCTGTCTGAGTCAGATAACATGACCATTATGATGCTTGGTACATTGGGATGTCAAAACAGCAGAATAGGAAAATATGTGTAAATGTTCCATTACTAACTGCTCACCCTGAATGTGTCTCAGGGCACGTACAACCAGTGTATGTTTTAAAAATGATAAATGCTCCACAGGGGCCACAAGTCCCCAGCTACCAAACCAACAGACTGTATAAAACTGTGTGGACAGCTGCTGAATATAGGTCAGTAATAATATCAAAGCGTGATTCAGAGAATCTGCTGCTCCCACTAGATTTGATCAAGCTGCACAGAGAGAGAGAGAGAGAAAGATAGAGAGAGATAACCTCTACAATATGCAGCACACTTTTTCTACACAGTTTTCCCACAAGCGTTTATCTGCATCAAGGGAGCTGGCAGTGCTCAGCGGATTTCACCAGTTTATTATCACAACTTTATATTTTTTGACAGAATTGACTGCCATGCAACAGCTTGGTCTGTCCTCTATCCCCATGTGTATTAAGCCAACACATTTCCCCATTAATATTTAATCTACAGTAGGTTTCCTCAGGCTTGGCCAATACTAAGAATAATCGTGCGTGCGTGCGTGGTGGTGTGTGGTGTGTGGTGTGTGTGTGAGAAAGGGTTCATTCCCTTTCATCCTCGTGTTCAGTAGGAATGAAACATCGTTGCACTGGCTGTTAGTCAGTATATAGAAAAGGACATTCTGTATTTTCTTGAAGCAAACACTTCACCCACCCCTAAAATAAAAATAGTACAACCACAGCATAGAAATAGAAACCAGTGGTCTCCATAGACTTGATAGATGAAACATGAAAGTACTGCAGTAAAAAATGACATGTAACGTAGACAGGACCCTATGTTTTTCCCTACATTTCTTATTTGGCCCATAAGGGTTTCATCCATTCCTCTTGAGATAAATAGCTAATACATACTCATACATCAGGGGTTGAATATGCAGACAAACGCTGTGCTTTTTTTCCAGAAAAAGATGGGCTGTACCAGCATAGGTCAGATGAACTGGCCCATACACAAATCTCACTTCCCTCTTTGGGATTCTCACAACTCTACTTCTAACAAGTGTTGCTCCTCTCATGTAGCTCAGTGTACTTTGAACATCTTGTCTCAGTTTAAAAGCCTGTAGGCTCTACACATACACCTTGCATATATTCTGTTAATGCCATCACATCATCTCTTTGCAGTCCAGTATTTTAGACGTGTTGGACGAATAAAGTAAACACTAATATTCTAATAAAGAAATCATGGGCAGCTGAGGTTGCTTGAGGACGTTTCACCTCTCATCCGAGAGGCTACTTCAGTTCTGACTGACTGACAGGGAATCCCAGCTATTTAAACCATGTGGGGTCATTATAAAGATAATGGATACCACCTGGTTTGTTAGTTCTTCAGGCTGTTGTAACGACAGTCATTATGGTCATTGGAGTCTCCTGAGGCCAAGTCTAAACGACTGTTGTTGGCATTGTCACATGAGGGTAATGTGTTTGTTCAATCTCCTGATGAAAGGACAGCATTGTTGAGAGATGGTTTCTCTATTGTGATGTAGTGGCCTCTTTCACTCCTCTTTCAAGCTATCTGTCCTCCTTGTCCAAAATATGTACAATGTTGTCATCGAGTGTCCTTCAAATCTAAGTAAACTGCTGAGTTTTGACTTGAGGAGTTGGCCCTTCTGTGTAGAGCCATGTTTGTGTAGTGGTTGTTTGGTTTCCCCAATATTTAGGTCTGTGCATTCCTCACTTCATTGGACAGTGTACACTAGATTGCTTTATTTGTGTTGGGGTGTGCGTTCTTTTGGGTGGATCAGTATCTCTCTTAGCGTGTTCTTGGATGTGGTGTTTATTGAAAATGTTTTAATAATGAACTATAATATATCAGGGATGTAACTTAACCTAGATCAAATCTTGTATGCAACCTACAAATACAGCAGGACTGTTGCCAAGTGTGCCAAAAATTGTTTATTATACTGGGTATTACAAGTGCCATCTATTACACTAAAACTAAAAAGGTAAATTAAAATGGTATTAACAAATCTCACAGAAGTTCTTACTTTTGTGTACACACATCTGCACATACAAATGCTGGTTGAATGAAGCTCCGTCTATCATTTAGCTACTTCAGAGCTGGTGTGTTGGCAGGACAGGGTGCTGAGTTGGCACAAGCCTCTGTCACTCCAACATGCTCTGACACTCTTGGACCAGCTCTCTTCCTGTTTTTGGCCACAGTTTGTTCAGCAAACGTCGACTGAAACAGAGTTGACCCTCACTTTTCTAAATGTACAACAGCCCAAACATACACAAGAGCAGAGCCCAACCAAAAAGGGATTTTTAAGTCCGATTCTGATTTCGATATATTTTATATATGTTATTTTAAAATCCAATAGCCGATATATCGGCCAATTTTCTTTTTTCCCCTTATTGTAAAAAACGCATAACATAGTCTACTATAGGCAGGACTTGACGATTCTGATTCGACTCTGTAAATCCTTAGTCGGGGACAGCCCTACTTTCTACTATGTAGCATATTCACCTCTATTTTATCCCTTTTAACAGCACTGTTAATTCTAGCCAAAGCTTTACATGTCCACTCTGGTTTAATCATTTCTGACACACCGACTGTAACTACAGACAAGCAGCTCTCAGATATATTTAGAATACGTTACACACTGTAGTTTAACTGCTCATTAACAACGTTAGCGCTCCTATACTAATAAACATGGCATTGACTTTGTGGCTAATTTAGTAACGGGCAGAGTTACCTGCTGTAAGTGATTGTTAGAGATTATTTAGAAGAAATAAATTAGAGAAATTAGTTTTCAGGAGAGAAGTGATGAAGGCTGTTTTTATTATTATTTAAGTCATGTAATTGACGTGACAAATGAACAACTCACTGAGAGCTACCAGGAGCTCCTCCCCGTAGCTCCAGCACTGGGGTCAGCTGATGTTTTGTTCTATGGTGCTGCAGTGTTTTGAACAGAGGAGCTGCAGCGCGCCCTCATATAATCATATATCGGCTGTTATAAATGCCAATGCAGATATATCTGCAATTAGCTTATATTGGCCGATAATATCTGCAAAATGATAAATCGGTCAGGCTCTACACACAAGTGAGGCATTTCACCACTGAAAAATACTTTAACACAAAAAGTGATTTGGTTCAAAATATTGTGTTGCCCAATGGCACTGTCACGTAAACCTCCTTTCCTTCTTTCCTCAGACACACCTTCTGGCAATATCGTAAGGAGAACCCTCAGACCAGAGTAGGTGAGCCTCCTCCTGATGGCCTCCCTGGCTTTAACAGCGGCGTCATATTATTGGACCTCGGTGCAATGAGGGCTTCGGCTCTCTACAACCAACTGTTGGAGCCTAGAAATGTGGCCAAACTAGCAGACCAGTATCGCTTCAGGGGGCACCTAGGTGACCAGGACTTCTTCACCATGATCGGCATGGAGCATCCTGAACTGTTTCATTCCCTGGCCTGTGGGTGGAACCGGCAGCTGTGCACCTGGTGGAGGGACCACGGATATGGAGATGTGTTTCAATTGTATTATCACTGTAGTGGACCCGTCTATATTTACCATGGGAACTGTAACTCCCCTATACCAGATGACTAATGTGTGTACTGGACTGATGCTGGAAACTGAAAAGGAGTCTTATCACATCTACAATATAGTTGGAGGGAGGATGGCAGTTTCCTTCCTTCCTTCTTGAACACTGTACTACCTATGTAGTCACAGACTCCTGCCCCCTGCTGGTCAAGGGGCTACTGAAGGGGGGAGAAGCTGCAATAGTGGGGCATATTTCTTCAGGTACCCAGATGATGGAAAAGAAGAAAACTGATCAATGGAGTTCAATTTCATCAACAAATCCATTAATTTGAAGGTAGTAGAAATACGCTGTTGACTTTCCAAAGTAATCCACCAGGAACGTGTTCTCATCTGTGTAATTGGCCAACACAGCGACTTGCTGGATGATGTACCTTTACATTGGGGTAATAGATCAACTTTTTTGCAGGTGCCCTCTGTGTGGCAAACCTAGCTGCATCAGCGTTGATCTCATTCAAACAAAGGGGAATATTGTCAGAATGAATGAGGCCATCATTCATTGTTGATGTCACTGTCAAGTAATTTACTTTTCATTTGCTTATATATTCATTGATTTCAATAAATGTTAGTATTCGTTTTGAGGAGTATCTAAAAGATCACTATCCATTACACAAAGTGGAATAAGCGACTTTTTTTGAGTTGGTAATTCACAGGGAAATCATATGGCTAAGAAATGTTGCCTGCAATGAGTTTTATAGGGTCAGCAAAATATGTTAATTGGCATCTATGAACAGAACTTCCCTCCCTCTGCTCACTCTGTCTCCAGCGCCTCAAGTTTTCCATCAGTGACCCAAATTCACTCTGCGTCGCCGTAACTACCTTCAACACCACAACAGGTGAGGCTAATCTGGTGCCATTTACATCCCTTGTAGAAGAAAGGGAGGGGTTTGTTTACCACAAGTGCACTGCCATCTTTACTGAGCCACGTGGGCGCTGGGCAAAACACACTGTCACAGTTCCTTTCAAACATCTTTCTGTAGGTAGGAAGACGGGGGAAGAAAATCACATTAGAGGGTGGAGGAGGCATCTGGGAGATAGTGGTTAACAGTGATGGCACTGATAGCTATTGTTCGCGCCCCGCATTTGCAGTTTAGCTGAGGCCAAACACAAACCCACATCAGCCAAACACACACGTCTAGAAGGAGCGGAGCAGCCGGGAACGTGACTGCAGACGCTGACCCAGTTTTGAGTTTTCTTGCCGTGCTCACTAAACTGACAGTCGGATTCAAAGAAATGTCAACGCTCAATATTCATCAGTCAGGAAATTGTCTGAGGTGATGCGCACTTTAACACGCACGTATATACGGTGAGAGTGAAGCAGCTGAATGCCATGCACCATCAGCGGAGTCACAGAAAGGCTACTGAAGACGCTTGAGAATAAACATTATGCCAAATCAATACGCTTCCCTTGAATTCACCCTGGCACTGATCAATATTCTCTCTACCTCTTTCAGAACAATACTGTTTAGTCTCAATAGATCCAAATTGTTAGCAAGAAGAACCATTGAATCACAGTAAACACTGAAAGAATACTTCCATTCTCTGTTATTGCTTGCACTTTACAACTTCAAAACACATGCTTTATCATCAAGGGTTTTGTTGACTAGACGATGGTTAGATTTATTTTACTGCGTTTATTATTATTGGTTCCTTGTTTTTAAAGAGCATACCAATGACTTTGTACATTTTAGCCCATTAACTTTACTTTCATATTTGTCATTTTTGATTGATGTCCTATTCTTTAGGCTGCAATTTTCTTTCAGTCCTTTATTAAAATTGCAAAGACTAAACGTTGCTTGAGACTGGTAATCCATCACAGTGAGAATTGTTTTCCTTTTTGTCAGTACATTATTATGTAGTATTGCAGATGCAAGTGGTACATTTCAGTATTCTTCATAGTGGTGCATTATCACAGAAAGGATAATTATCTGCTGAACAACATTGCATCTGTAACTATGTTGAAAAATCTTATCCAGAAATAAAAACAGTATGCAGACATGGACACTGTGAAAAAGACTGATGAATCTGATCATTCCTTCTATAAAAATGCCAACGTTTTACGCAGTTAGAGTGAGTTACCCCTGCTCACAACTACATTACTTTGACATGACAAAACAATCAAATGCAATACATTGTTCAACGTGATGGTAGGCCTGGGCGAAAAATCGATTGAATGAATTAATTCGAATTTTTGTTGCGGGCGATTTAAAAAATAAGTAAATCGAGTTTTTGTGTAATAGCACATTTTTGGCTCCCCGGGGTTTCCGTAGTGTTCGTTTCCCATAGCGACAACATCATACACTAAACAGCAACAGCAAGCGACAAAATGGCTACCGGTGAGAGCGGGAAGTTTGTTCCCAAGAAAGGAATAAAGTCATCTGTTGTTTGGAACTGGTATGGGTTTGCTGCGACAGATGTGGAACAACAGACACCACGCTGCAACATTTGCCTAAAGCCTATCGCAGTGAAAGGCAGCAGCACCACAAACCTATTCCAACACCTGAAACAGAGACATCCAGCCGAATATGAAAAATGCCAGTCTCTCCGCGATGAACAAAGCCGCACTGACCAACAAACCTTATTGCTTTCCTTAAGTAGGGGGGGAAATCGGAAAAAATCGTAAATTGAATTAAAGTAAATAAAATCGGAGATTTTATTTTTAGGCCATATCGCCCAGCCCTACGTGATGGGTTTATCTCTAAAATATATTTTAAAGTTTCTGCAAGTTAAAAGATCTGAAACTATTGACTCTGTGAAAGAGGAATCTAAACATGATCTAAACATTTACATGTTGCTCTGGTTGGCATATTGAAAATTTTGGCACTAAAACATGCAAATCCAACAGTATCATCCTTTAAAATAAATCCTTTTTGTGCTTTGTCAAATATTTATCGCTGAACTGACGGTATATACTGTAGATCCACAGTATATACCGTCAGTTTTGGTAACACTTAATCTTTCCAGTCCGTAATCTGCCACTGCTATCCTAATGATAGTTGCTGTGAAGTTTCCAGTGTAATCTGTTACTAATAATAGGGAAAATCCTTGAAAGAACTACTCTATTTATATCAAGGTAAATATTCATTCGTTGTTCATTTATCATTTGAAACTTTATTCTTTATATATGTAAATTGTATTATTGCCTGTAGATAAAATTTCCCATTTTGTCCAGCTGATTTGTTGTGCACTTACTAAAAGACTATCTGGGTTAGGCTAGCAGTTATTATTCATACGTTTTCCCTCTTAGTATGAAATTACATACCTGCAGTTCTTTCCAGGAATCTCCTTTTGAAATTATTAGGAAATGATACACCTGTAAAATAAAACATTACCCCTGTGTTTATGTCTAACTTTTACCCCTTTCAACATGTGTATAACAAATGACATTGTAAATAGCTGGAGATCCAAGATGGTGTATAGTGAAAATGATCTGGTTTAACTTGATAAATGTTATAAAGGTAGTAACCCACGTTTACCCGCCAACAGTAGACACTTCCGAGTCGGTTGCTTCAAAGAGGTAAATGACTGTTATGTGTCAGTAAATTGAATGTGCATCATTTTAAAGGGCTAATAGATGTTTGCAAACAAGTGTATAATAGATGTTCCATATTTGACTTAGAATCTCCTTGACAGATTAGAAAGCTGCTGTGTTCAGTGTTAAAGCTGTCATGTTTGACCTCTCATTGATGAGCCTCCTGTGAGACAAAAATACAAATAAGTTCCCATTTTGTGTTAACTGTTTGTCTACATTATTTCTGAAATGATTCTGTGTTCGGCTTCCCTAAATAAATTATATGATAACTTTACTCTTTTTGATGGTGTTACCATTGTATGGCTCTTGTTTTTTTGTTATTGAAAAGCTCACGTGGCGAAGGGAGAGCTGACAACACTCAACTAAGGGTGAGAATGAGGTGGAAAAAACAAATGTATGTAATGGTGTGCCATCACAGATCTCATTATACGAACCTATGTTCCTGTTTGTCTGCTACAAGCTAGACACCTATTTCTGTCACTCAAATTTGCAAACACAGGCAGCTAACACTCCATAGACAGAAAAACAACATCTGTCAGCCTTGACCCCCAAATGTGCTGACATTAAAATACCACAATTTAAACCTGACACTAAAATGTATCTTGTGTCAAGGTATGCTGGAATTTAATGATATTTTCTTTGTCAACAATAAAATCCAATATTGTTCTTTAGGGAAAAAAGAGAAGTCTGGAGCTGTAATGATTCACATGTCCTTGCAGATTCATGCATTTCTTTTTTTAAGAATTTTATCTTACAGCAAATAATGTGCCTCTGCAGATGCATTAAACAACTAAAATGGTTTGGTTTTTAGTCATTGTGAAATTACACACATGCATATGCCCACTTTCAGAGTTATCCGTGACTGCATAGATATTTATATTATTTTAGCACCGGTAAACAAGCAACAGTGTTTCAACTGTTCATCCCATATTGCAAAAACAGACTAACACTTTGAAGTTTCAGTGCCTGGCCTTGTATCACAGCTCCTACAGTGATGAAATTATATTAGTTTGGGCATAATAACCCTGGGCTATGTAGCCTATTAGTGTGATGTGATTTCTAAAATCCCTGAGCCTGGATTCATCGACAAAAACAAGCCCATTTACCTTCAGGGTGAGCAGCAGAAACAGCAGGCTGGTATGGATTTGATACGGCAGCAGCATTAATGCCTTTATCCAACAAACACAAAGAGTTCAATCTAGAGCTTAGTGAGACTCTGTGTTTCTGTGCAGCTGTGTTTACTGCAGATTGACAGTGAAGTGAAGACAAATGCTCTGCAGAATCGATTGCTGCTGTAATGGCTAATCATAGATGAATCACTAAATCACAAGGGTAACGGTAACGTTAGCATTTCACGTAAACCATGATTGCTAGTTGAGATGAAGGCTAGCAAAGTAAGGTACAATTCTTAGCTGTAATGTAACGTGCGTTGTAATTGGTTTATTTAAATAATTTAATATGGTAAAAAATAAAAAGGTTTTAACACCTTAGCTGTGGCTTTTCACACAACTTCCACAATCCTCTTAACATGGTCAGGAAGAACTATTCTGTACATCACCTTCAAAAAGCAATGTGGCATCAGCACCTGTTTTAAGTTTGTTTTGTCTTTCTTTGTCAGTTCAGCTGTCACAAACCCCAAGGTATTGAGTCATACACCAGTCACAGCTCACCTTCATGGGTACCTGCCCCCCCCCCCCCCGTGTTGTAATTGTTCTCTGACTGGTTAGTCCATGAGTTTGGGTCGTACAGTGGTATGAATAAAACAGCTGATGCCGGTACAGGCAGGGTGCCAAGCAAAAGTATTTATTTTCCAATCACTCGATGGACTAATCAGTAGAATAATCAACAATAATCTGTAGCAACCCTAGCTATCACTTTTTATTCAAAATTCAAACATTGGTTAGTTAATAGTTAATAGAAAAAAGTTAATAGTTAAAAGTTAATATTTGAACTGTAATGACCTGTTTGAATTCAAAATGTAGTCTCCAAGCCCAACAGACCGTTTGAAGAAGCAGAGAGCTTGACATAATGATTGTCCTATTGCCCTACATGTGAACTAAGCTAGTAATGTTATGTTGTTTGCTATGAAAATGGAGGACACTAGCCAGCAAAGCCGTCCTAAGCAGACGATCACAACACCAAAGAATCTGAGAAGGTGTGTGGAAAGTATTAGGGGTTCTACACTGCAGGTGGCGAAGCAGTTGTCTTACTCTACAAAGAAAACTAATATTCCTCTAGCCTCTGCCAGTTAGAAGCTGGAAATATATTTTATTCTAAATTGATTTTCAATTTGTTTCTGAAAGTGTCTTGCTATTTACATATTGGAATTTTTACATAGTTAGCACGGACAACATTTACATTCTTGAACTTTCTTTATCTTGTAATGTAAAAGATATTTCCCTTTATCTAACTTACTCGTTGGCTGTGACTGTTCTGTCTTAAAATTTGACACCCCTGAACTTAGCTAATCTACTTGCTATGTTGCAATTTATAGTAATGATGACAGTATTTTTGCTGACAAAAAACAGGTGTTACACAATGTAATCAAGGCATTTAAAAAATGTTCAACAACAAAAAAAATACTGACCACTAAATTTCAGTGCAATTACAGTTATGATGTTTGCAAATTATTTTACTTTTGTCAATTTGAAATAGCACTACTCAAATTTGTTACCCTTAATTTTTTTATTTGACTTGTTTAATGATGGAGTGGCTTTTGGAGCCCTGGCTTTGAAGGCACTCCTTCTGACACCCACACATTCAGTATATCAAATCTTTTTTTATTTTGGCAGTGTAAGGTTTTTTTGCCTCTTGTGCCGTCACACAGAGTAACAGCCTGACGTATTACAAAAACAGAAAGATCCTGCTCCTGACATATGTTTGTATTAGTATAATAAATCAATGTCTGCTTATTTCAGTCACTTCTTCGCTCAGTGTTCACACCAACCGTTTTTAATTTAAAAAAACATGATAACGTACAATGACACATTAAACATAAACTGTTTGCTTATGCAGCTGCTTTGGCAGAAAGAGGAAACTAATTGAAATTCCACAGACTTTGCTGGCGGTCAGTCCAATTTGAACATTCAGACCATGTCAAATCCAAAATATATTGCCTTCTCTGCTTCTGAGACACATTTACCTGACAGGAGCTCTGCATGATATGTGTGACAATGTGAGAACAACTAAATGTTTGCACGTGTTAATGTGTGTGTGTGTGTGTGTGTGTGAGAGAGAGAGAGAGAGAGATCCAATGGAAGAAATGTAGGCCAGTATATTCCTGGGAGCTCCTCCACCCTCCCTTTCTCTCTCTCTCTCTCTCTCTCTCACTCACTCCCATCTCTCTATGTATCTCTCCTCCCACCACAACCCACTCCCCCAGGTTGTGGGCAGTCTGCCCAATCAGAATGAGAACAATGAGAGACCTTGATCACCATCCATCGCTCATTTCTCTGTTTGAGTTAGTGGTTGTTCTGCCCTCTACTTTCCTCTCTCTTACTGTCTATATTTATAATGTTTTGGAACTGAAAATAAGTCCAGGGACATTTTGTGTGCAAGTATTTTGGTTGCTGCTTTGCCGCTTTGGGTTTGATTAATATCAGTTGTGTGTATTCATTACAGGCATATTTAGACTAGCTTTGCTCAAAGACAGGAAGAAGGGGAAACAGCTAGCCTACTAGCCTTGGAACTGATATTGATATGTTCATCTTATCTTTTCTAAAGGTCCTTTCACGTTTGAACACATTTATAATCCATAACTAATTTTGTTTTTAATTTAAAAATATGATTTACACACATAAACCTCTCACACTAAGGCCTTGCTCATCTGCCAGACCCAATCAGTTCATTTTAGAAAGTCTGGACAGCAAAAAACTACATGAAATCCAGAGGCTGTTCAATTAATGTAATTTTATAATCCAACGATTAAGAAAACTAGATAATCGAGATAAAATGATTATTGTGCCGCATTCTGTTTCGCAATAATGCTTGTTTTGTCTTGTGTTTTAAACCAAGGGCACCCCTTTCCTTTACAGCAGTGGCTCTTTCCCCTCCCTAAAAGCCCAAACTCCCTCTCAGCGTGTTTAGTTCAGCTCGAGCCAAGCTTTAAATGTGAGGAGTAGGGTCTTAAACTTTATTTCAGTATTGCACAGGGAGCCATTCAAATTTGATAAGTGTAGGTGTGGTATGTTCCAATGATTTGGTGAAGCTCAGGATTCTTGCACCAGAGTCCTGGACCAGTTGGAGTCGACTGATGAGTTTGGTGGGGATACCAGTGAGGAGAGCATTTGCAGCAGTCTAGACAGGAAGTGTCAAAGGCATGTTATCCAGGGTGACACCGAGGCTTTTTACTTTGGATGACAGAGTGACCGGTAAACCATCAATATTGATAATGAGGTTTTGCGAGTTTAGAGAGTGTGGATTTGGAGCCAATAAGAATGATCTCTGTCTTGTAGCTCTTGAAGGCAGCCTTCAAGACATCAGGAGCTGGATGACCATGAACCTCCTCCAACTAAACAACTGTCTGCACAGTCTGTGAGTCATTTCAGCTGTTTTCTTTGCCCCACTCTGATGCAGAAATACATTTGATTATCATACTGCATTACTCAATATTGAAATAAATCCATGTCAGAAACACTTTCAAGTTTCAAGTAAAGAAGCCTATTTAATGTCTGTTATAACACTAAGCAGTGACGTGGAAATTGGATTCATTTTAAGACATGTTGCTATTGTTATTATTCTAATGTGCTTCATCAGGATGATTGAATAAAATATTGATTTATTGATTAGACATGTTTTTGATATTTATTTTGGATAAATTGGTATGTTAATCGAGTAATAGGCAACATTTTTTCCTTTAAAATACACAAAATTAGTAGTTAGATTAATCGACTAATCGAAAAAATAATCATTAGATTAATTGATTTGAAAAATAATCACTTAATCACTTAATGCATGTGTATCAGCAAACCTTGATAACATCTTTACTTGCTGAGCATTTACCTTGGGCTGCCAAAATTCCTGCCACTTTTCTGTTTAAAACATGTTTGTTTATTTTTGTGTATTTTTTACATTGTGTGCTGTATTGAGCACTGACAAATGAGTTGCCACAACACCACCACTGTCTTTTACCAATGCCTCTGACTCATCTTCACCTCACAGTGAATATACACGAAGATGTTTCATTCAGGGGACTACCATGAAAGCTGCTGAACTCAACAATGGCCAATCTCAAGGTGAGTGTCAGCAATGAGAAACAATGAATGCTGCTGCTCATACATAAAAACATTCTCTTTTTCTCTCTGTCCATTTCTGTTTCTAATCATGCTCCCATCTTCACACTCAAAGTTATGCACATGCATAACCAGACACAAATTAACACGCACACACACACACACACACACACACACACACACACTACCATCTGTTGTCTTGAGAGATTGCTATGTTTTCTGTGTCAGAACAGCTGTAACTTATAAACAAGAGGGAAGATTATGATGGCAGCAGAGGGTCGTTTTGTGAATCACCAGCAGATGAAACATCAGCCAAAATGGCACAGCTCGAAATTGGGCCACTGACTGTCATTATAATTTGTGGGGCTCATAATATAGAACCATAAGTAAATAAAAGGTCTGAATCATTTGTTTGATTTTAAAATGTATCTTACGTACACTGATTTGATGCTGACATTCACTGACCGCAACAGTAGAATCACCTGAAATCTGTGAAGAATCTGTGCCAAGCATAAAATGGTGCAAGGTTTGTCATTAGATGAAACAATACTGTTGACAGAGAAGTCAACATTAATAATATTGTCAGATATTGGTCTTTTATTGTGGCAAGCCTAAGACACACCTGTGCAATACCCATGCTCTCTGATAAGGATCTTTATATGCCACACCTGTGAGGTGGATGGATTATCTCGGCAAAGGTGCTCACTAACACAGATTTGGACAGATTTGTGAACAATATTTGAGAGAAATAGGCCTTTTGTGTACATAGAGAAAGTCTTAGATCTTTGAGTTCAGCTCATGATGAATGGGGGCAAAAACAAAAGTTCTGCGTTTATAATTTTATTTACTGATAAACTATTATATTTCTGTGAATTTACACTTTTGTCTGCATTATTCTCCACTTGTTGATTGTTCAGCTTGCCAATCCCCTGTGAAGCTGCACTAGCCAGAGATGGGGACTCGAGTTAGAAACTCGGACTCGAGTGCAACTTAAGTCGCACACACAGTGACTTCAGAATCAACTTGAGACTCGTCCTCAAAAGACTTCAGACTCGACTCGGACTCGAGGTACGGGACTCGTGAACAATGTTTAATTTTTAGAACACGTCTGATGAGCTTCCCTCCCTCCGTTACCTATAACCTGCCTACGTAACATCTGCTGTGCGCGGCCGCAACAAACACCGGCAGCTGCTGTGCCATTTATCATAAACTTTGGCTTTAAAACTTCATACAACAAAGAAGCGCTGAACGCAAATATGTGGTGAGTGAACATGTTTAGCTCAGCATTGGCCATCTAACGTTAGCTTGCTTCTTGCTTCAGCTATGAGCTACGGGAGGTTTACTGTGACTGTCGTTTGTTATGAAAAGATGAACAAGTGTTTGTTTACTTGCCAAACTTGCGGTGGTCGGTTAACGTAATCATTTACGTCTCGCTGGCTGCCATCACGTTAATTATTGCCGTTGGCTGGAAAGAGGTTACAGGTTTATTGTTGATCATGTAACGTTACAGTTTCATTTAGTTATAGCCTAACATTACACTGGTTTGAGAGTCTGCAGCGTGTGTTGACTTATAGTAGTTTAAGCTGTCATTGATTGCATTGCACATTATGGTTGTGCTCTGTAAGTTAAAAACAGGTTACAGTTTATTGTTTTGAAAGTCTAGGGGATGTGTTGACTTATAGCAGTTTATAAGCTGTCATTAATTGTAGACGCATTGTACATAACTTACATACTGTAAGTTAAAAACAGACAGATTTATTGTTGATTATGCAACGTCACAGTTTTATTGACTTACAGCATTTAATAAGCTGTCATTAATTGCATTGCACATTACATGGTTGTGCTCAGCGCAGCAGTTGATACAACATTCGTAATACCCACGAGAGACTTGAGACTTGACTTGGACTCTTGCTCAAAGACTTGAGACTTGACTTGGACTCTAGCTCAAAGACTTGTGAACATCTCTGGCACTAGCTGAGCTAATGTAGAATAAAAATAGTACTATTTTAGTGCATAGTAAAAATCTATCTTAATACATACACAACAAAACACAACATTGTGCAAGTACACAGTGTATACACATACAATATCAACCTGTACTGTCTAGTCAGTTGAAGTACATTATGTGGCATGAAGAATTTTCACAGAGCTGAAAGTGTAAATGAGGTTTCCAAATATTGAGCACATTATGAAATTAATCCACTGTAAAATAATTACTAAAAGCCTTAAAGGGATTGTGTACAGTTAAGCCAAATTCATACTTTCGCATCTGCGAGGGCCTGTGCAGACTATTATGCTGATGTCCATGCGCAGCCCAAAATTAACGCAGAGCAAGTGCCGACTGTACGTGCTCCAGAAAACAAAATGGATGCTTGTTTTGAAGAGAGGTTGTTCGAGGAGACCCGCCATTCCAAACATTTATATAATAATAATTTTTCTTGTTGTACAGTCTAATACAACAAACACGGGAGGTCTTCTTGTTACTGTCCTGATGCTGCTTTTTGATTTTTATCGTGGGACGGTTGTTGAATATTTTTGTGCGCAAGCTTTCGCAATGGATCTTTTGCACAGTTTTATAAATGAGGCCACAGGTGAGTACATAAGATGTCACTGGGAGGTGCGTCACAAACCACAGGGAATGCGGCATCTCACAATGAGCAGAGAGTGAGATATATGAACAGACTGTCTCAAGAGCTAAACCTAGACATAATACATGGCATTTATTCACAAGATATGGAATCACAATGCCTTCTGGCAGGATACAAACTGTGAACACTGGCCGGGAAGCTGACCCACATAATATATGACTCTGTCTAGCAGAAATTAGGTCTGTGTGTCGCCCTACTTCAAAGTCCACGGGGAGAAATGTCCATGTTAACATCTAATCCTGTATTCAGCAGCCGAATCTGATTTAAAATCTGAAGTGGCGAACTATTCTTAAAATGGGGTGTGTTTGATTGAACTTGTCCCAAAAGCAGTAGAGTTCAATAAATGTATGTGCCTTGTGTGTAAAAGAAGTCATTTATTGAAATAAGTTAAATAAGACATTAGTCAACCGATTTTGTTGTAAGGTAAAGTTCATTAAAGTTTATCAGCTTTCCTCTATTTGTAGCTTTTAAACACAATGTGTCATTTTTGACGTCCCTTAAATGTACTTACAGGATCTTATTAATTTGAAATAAATGGATTTTTCTTGAAGAGGAAAACAAATAAGGTAAACAAATCGTCCCACAGGGGTTTTGCAGTGATTAATAAGCTGTTGTAATAATAAAAATGGCTGATTTCAATAGCTTTCATACATGACCTACTTTTTCTGTCCTTGCTCAACTCTTCAGTCAGTAAAGCCTCACTGTAAAAATTATCAAGTTCAATTGCTGCCTTAAAAATGTGAGTAAACTCAACTTTAAGAAAAGCTTTTTTCAACTCATGATGTTACATTATACATTTTGTTTAACTAATGATCATTTTTTGTTTGAACTTAATACTGTGAGTTAAAACAACAACAACTGCTTTCTCTTGTCAAACAAACATACACTTCTACACCCTTTCAACTCACATTTTTAAGTTAATAGAACTAAATATAAGACATTTCAAGTTAGTTTAACTTGCAAGAAAATGCAAGTTAACTCAACTTGAAGATTGCCTTTGTTTCAACTCATAAATTCAAGGTCATGAAGTTGATATAACTACAGTGTTATAGTTGTCTCAACATTGTTTTGACACTAGTCTTGTTTACCAAAGAAGTTTCTATATTTTGGTTGGAATTTGAATACATGACTTATCTGCAGTGTATAATTAGTAGGGATGAGCAAATACACCACTATCTGTATCTGTTCAATAAATTTAATTTTCTGTATCTGTAATCAGAATGGGCGGGGCTTAATCTAGAAGTTGGGGGGACTAACCAGAAGTTTCTTTTAAGCCTGAAATTGGAATCAGAGCTTGCTATATTTATTAGAAAACTATTTATAGTACAGCTACAGAATTGAACAATGTTTTTGATCACAAAAATTGATTTTTTTAAAAAAGGTTCCCATATTTATACACTGAACAAAATTATAAACACAACACTTTTATTTTTGCCCCATTCATCAGGAGCTGAACTCAAAGATCTATGACTTTCTCTATGTACACAAAAGGCCTATTTCTCTCAAATATTGTTCACAAATCTGTCCAAATCTGTGTTAGTGAGCACTTCTCCTTTGTCGAGGTCATCCATCCACCTCACAGGTGTGGCATATCAAGATACTGACCATACAGGATGGGTATTGCACAGGTATGCCTTAGGCTGGCAACAATAAAAGGAAATGTGCAGTTTGACTATATTGGGGGAGTCCAGGGGGTCCGGAAACCAGTCTGGTGTCGCTGTCAAAGGTTACGAAATCCATTAGGTCTTTGAGTTCAGCTCATGATGAATGGGGCAAAAACAAAAGTGTTGCGTTTATAATTTTGTTCAGTGTATAAATATGGGAACCTTTTTAAAACATATCAATTATTGTGATCAAAAAACAGATAGACACATTTTACTTTTCACATTTCACATTTAGTATCTCTACCAGATACTCGTTTCAACGGAGTACTTGCTAAACCCTAATAATTAGTTGATTATGTACTGTATGTGTTTCTGTCAAACTCAAAAGACACAGCACCTTGTCTCCCATCTCAGCACTCTCGCCTTTTTTTCCAACTGATAACTTTCATACACAAGTTCAGTTAACAAGACAAAAGTCTCAAATAGTCAACACAATTAATTAATGCAAGTTCAACTTTCTAAAACTCATACAGTTGAGTTCAAAATCCAAAACTTGTCAGAGCTATTAGAGTTAAAAAGAAGAAGTAAATTGACATAACTAAATGGGTCTGTGATTTTTTTCAGTGCTGAGCTCATAGTGGGTGTGATTGAGCAGAAAACTGGTCTCACATTGTAGTAAAAAAAGAATCAAATGAAATTACAGCAGTCAAACTGAGCTATCTGCTCTCCTGTAAAGTCATTATTTTAAT